AAGGCAATTAATATAAAAAAAATCGAGGAATAAGCGGATTTAAAGGCGGTATAGCGTTTAACTATTAGCGATTTTACCAAAAAAATATAATTAAAAAACCGAAAAAATTAATAATAATATTTTTAAAATTAATTAATAATATTAAATACTTTTAGCTACGCTATTAGGGCCCGGTAATTTAGATTTAATTAATTTTAATATATTTTCGAATCCGACTAAAAATAAAAGGGTAAAAAAACTCGAAGCTATCTTTTTAGCAATATTATTAAATATATCTTTATTTAAGCCGGAAAATAGCAGTATTAATTTAGCGATTTTAAATAAAATATAATAATAATATACGAATAGGTTTTTCGACTTTAGGAAAAGAAAAATCGCAATAGCTTAATAAAAGGCTTTTTTTAAAAAAGCTAAAAATAAATTAAGCCTGCGAATTACGGATATCCTAAAATTACCGAAAACCTATAAAAATTTAAAGCAATACCTATTTAGGGATATTTTTCGGTAAATTATAAACGATTATATACGTTAATATACGAAAGAGTTTAAATCGTAATTAAAATATCCAAAGCGAATAACTATAAAGCATTAGGTAATTTATAGCATATAGGTATTTATTTATAAAAACGATAATAAAATCCTTATTAAGCTAAAAGCCAGGCTCGTAATATATAGGAATTAATAATATACTAGCGATTTACCGACGCGTATTATAATTTTCGCAATTATATTATTACGGATATTACTAATAATAACGGCTTAATTTAATTTAAAAACGTACTAAATAAACGTAATAAATGCGTTTATATAGGCGGATATCGATAAAAAAATATATATAAAGTTTTCCTTTAGGTTCGAATAATTTAGGAAGGTATTGCGTTTAAAAAAGGCTTTATATAATTTTCGGAAATCTTTATTTATATAATAATAAACGTTTATTAAAATATTAATAAATTTCGGTTTTATAAAAATTTTATAAAAATTATATATTATAATAAAAGGGGATATTATTGTTTTTTTTACGTAAATAATATAATTTTTTATTATTAACGGGCGTATTAATAAGAATTTAGCAGTATTAAAGCCGCTTTTTATTTAAAATTTAAGTTAAAAAAAAAGAATTAAAATAATTTTTAGGTATAAATATTTCCCGCGACCGAATAGCAAAAAAGCTATAATTTTTATAAAAGTTATATATCGAAAAAGTTATAGCGAGTTTTAAATTCGATAAAGAATTAAAACGAACGAATATCCCGATATTTAGGGAATTATTCTTATTCGAAAATAAAGCCGATACGGAATCCTAATTATTATATTAATTTAAAATTAGGTCGATTTTATACGCAATTATTTTAATTCGGCCGGATATAATATTCGCAATAGCCAGGCTTTTTAAATTTAACTCGAATTTATCGCTATAATATTACCAAGCTGCGGATTAAATAATTAGCTACCTATATTCGATAAAACAGCTAGGTATTTAATATAAATTTTTAAAAAACGAAATAAAGGCATTTATTTACGTAAGCGATACTTTATTTATAAATAATATTTTAAATAAGAAAAGCAGCTAAGGCTATATAATAATTTTATTTATTAAAGCCGAATTTCTAGTTTTATTATAAACGGCAAAAAAAAGTATTTATTTTTTAAGCTAATAAAATCTTTAGGTTTAAAATTTAATAAATAATTTATTATTATTTATAATAATAAATAAATTATTTGATTTTTCGTCGAAAAAGCTGCGAAATTATAAATAAAATTTAAATATATAAATATTTATATTTATTAGCTAAAGCAAAAGGTTTAACGAGGCTATATAGGAATTTATTAGATAAAAATTAGTTAAATAATAATTAATAGGTTTACGAAGGCTTTGCCTAAGCAGAAATTCGAATAATTTAGGGGCCTAATTAATTTTATAAATATTATAATTTTAATTATTAACGGCGGATAGGAAATACCTTAATTAGTATTTATTAGTAACCTTATAAAGAAAATAATTTATATTAAAAGGTCGGAAAAGCCGTAAAAATTTAAGTTTTTTACGATAGCGGTATTTAAAAAGGATTAGCGACCTTATTAGGATTATTTATATTAATAAGTTTAAATTAGCTATTTATAATTATTACGCTAATATTTAAAAACGGGCAAAATATTAATATAAATTATTATAAAAATTGCAAAGGTTTAGCGAAATTTTAAATTTTAAGGTTATAAAGATATATTAAAGGTATTATAAGAGGTTTATAAGTGGTTTATTAATAAGCATTTTTTAAAAATTTTCGGGAATATTTTATATTTTTTAAAAGTTAGACCTTTTATAATATATATTAATAATATAATAATAAGGATTAAATAAATATATATTTATAAACCGCGAAGGCCCGGTAACGCAGCGGCGACTTATTAGCGAAGCATTTTTTATTTAACGTTTAAGACCGAAGGTAAAGGTTTAAGTTTTTTTAGGAAAATTATTATTTTTATTATTTTTTTTATTAGAATTTATAGCTAAAATATTTTAGTTTTAGCAAAAAGTTAATAAATAGTTCGAAATAAAATCGAAGCTATATCGAAAGGAATTATTTATTATTTTTTAATATAAAATATAGAATTTTTGGAATTCGTTAAGGAAGCCGGCAAAATTACTAAAAATAAAGCGGCGAAATTTATTCGAAGCTTTTATAGTTTTACGGAAAAAGCGAATTTCCGAAGCAAAACGATTAATATAATTAGCTTAAATTTTGCGAATTATTAATAAAATAATAGCGGCCGCTTAACGATTTAATTTATTAAGCTTAGCGATTTTATAAATAGAAAAATTTTTGCGATTTTTTTCCTATTATATAACGCGTTTTAGCTAATTTTAGGTATTACGGAATATATTTTTAAATTGTAAATAATTAGCAGGTAGCTCGTAAATACGGGAAATTTTAAAATTTATAAATATTTCGCTAAGAAAATATTTATATATATTTATAAAACGGGTTTTAGCAGTTTTTACGGTACGGGCGGGCTATAGGAAATTAATAGCTAATTCGAAATAAAATCGCAGCTATTATAAATTTAAATATAAGCTTTTTTAAAAATTTAGCAATTTTCGCATTTATCGGAGTTTTCGGCTAGGATTCGGGTTAGTTAATAATTCGCGGGTATACCGCCGATATATCGAAAATAATTCGAAAATATTTATTTTTAAAATTATAATAACGAGGCTAAATTTCGGGAGGCTTTTAATTTTTTATATAATAAAAATAGCGGTAATAAAAAATCTTTTAAATTATAGCGAATTAGCTTTAAATTACTAATAACCTATTTAAAAAAAAAATTTATAAAAAGGATTTTTACCGCTATTAAAAAAAGCCGGTATTATAGCGGTAACGGGAAAACGCGTTAAAAATTAGGCTATAAATACCTATTAGCTATTTATTTGCAAAATATTTGCTATATAAAAATTTACCGGAAATATAACTAAAAAAAAAATACCGGAATATTTAAACAAAAATCTAAAAAAAGATATATATTAGCAATATTATAAAATCGCGCTTATTTCGCGGGGATTTAAAAAAATAAAAAATAAATATAATAAGGAACTAATAGCGAAGCCGAAATTAATAAAATTAACGGTATCGACGATAAAGGCATCGTAGGAGTAATACTATAGTGGTAAATAATAATAAAAGGGTAGATTTACGATTCGGGAAAATTAATAAAAAAAAAAAAAAAAAAGGAACGGGAAATCCGGGATTTAAGGGGTTATTTATATTTGCAATTATTAGCTATTAGATAATTATTCTATTTTCTGGCTAATTATTCCATTTTACAGCCCGGGTGCAGGCCTAAAACGGAAATAATAGCAGGCGCGGCGTTTGCATTTTAAATTATTTTACGGAGCTTAGGGGAATTACGGCCTATTTGCTACCTAATTAAAAAAAAATTAAAAGCATTTAAAAAAACGGTTTTAGTGCCGAAAAAGCTTTCTATTTCCCCGGAATATATTATAATAAAATAATCCAGCATAATTAGATTTATGCTAAAAGGGTATATTAAACTATAGCACTATAGGGAAATACTAGCTGCCACGCAGCTAATAAAAACCTTGCATAATAGGAATACTATAAAACCTTTTAAAAATAGCCCTTTATATAAATTATTAAATTACATTAATATATATGCATCGACCCCCTATTTACTCTGCAGCTACCTAACTATTCAACAAAACACTACCAGAAGGTTTACGTTAGCATAGGGGGCTCGGCGAAAGTTGATCCGATCTTTTATGGGTCGCCAAGCTCTAGGCTTGCTAGGAGGGTTCCCCTTTTTCTCTTCCCCCAAGCTGCTGATTAGGAGCATTGAACACTGGCTGGACCAATTGACCAGCAAGCTGGGGGAGCCTATGGGGTAAAAGTCTCACGCACTGCGAACGAACCAACGTTACCTATCCGCCGCCCTGGTCGCTCAGGCCAAATCTTGTCCTCCCAAGTCTGGACCGGACTCCTGTCTCGTAATTTTTTTTTCCTTCTTACCATCTACATTTTTCGAGCTCTGCTGGCTGCTCACCAGCATTTCTCTTCCCACCGCATTGCCTTGTTGCTGGCTTAAAGCGACGACTGTTGACGACTGTCATCGTCAGCGTCATCTTCCTACTTGGCCATCGCATCCGCTGACCGGTTGCAATTGGCCAGGCCATCGTTGAGACAGACGCCAAGCTTCGGACGCGTGTCTGCCGCCATCGACAGCCCCCAACTGCAACACCCTCTCCCGATCGCAGTGACGACCATAAAGGAAGTCATCACTGCAACCGCATTCCCATCTCGAGCGTCCTGCCCCTTATCGAGGGTCTGCGGGGACCTTGACATTCGCTACTCGATCCTTGCGCCCATTCCAACCAGAATCATCGGGTTGGAGGGAACTGCAGTGTAAAACACATCCGACAACCTCCTTCATCCATACAAACATCTCCACGCTGGATTAATTACAGTCGTTATCATTGGAGAACCATGGCCATGGATCTCTTCCGGCGTGCGTATAAGCGCGTGCCAACAGTTGCACCGCAACTGCCTACCAATGACGAGAAAGGCAAGCCCAAAACCAAGGGCCTAGCATCTCGACTCGCCTTCTTCAAGAGGCCGCTCAGATTAAAGGGCAATTCGAGCATATCTGTTCCCTTGGGAGTGGTTGTGCTCTTTCCATGCATTGTCCTCATCCTTATCCTGGTGTTGTTTGTTCGACACCCAAGCTCACCAGCCAGGATTTTGATGCCTGCTGGTGCTCCTCCAGCCATTAGGTACGCATTGAACTCCATCAGAATTTATCAAATGTCATGCTTGATTGTTTGCTAACGCCATCCGCCTGACAGAAAAATCAGCGAAAAGCATGACAAGGTATTTGTCACTGGCTGTCTCGAACCCGATACGAGCCAACCTCGTGCCAACGCTGCCTTCGTCGTCCTCGCCCGAAACAAGGAATTGGACGGTGTCATCCAGTCGGTCAAGTCTATTGAGCGACACTTCAACCGCTGGTACCACTACCCATATGTCTTCCTCAACGACGGCGAGTTCAACCAGACCTTCAAGGATGTCATCAAGAACTACACTTCGGGTGAGGTTGAATTTGGCCGTGTTGGTCCTGAGATGTGGGGATACCCTGAGTGGATAGACCCCAAGATCGCCAAGGAGGGTATCGCCAAGCAGGGAGATGCTGCTGTCATGTACGGTGGTCTCGAGTCCTACCACGCCATGTGCCGCTTCTACTCTGGATTCTTCTACAAGCACCCTCTCCTCGCCAAATACGAGTGGTACTGGCGCTTGGAGCCAGAGATCAAGTACTTCTGCGACATCACTTATGATCCCTTCCTCAAGATGATTGAGCACAACAAGACATATGGCTTCACCATTGCCGTCAAGGAGCTCAAGGAAACCGTTCCAAACATCTTCCGCTACGCCTCTGCTTACAAGCGTCTCAACAACATCACCTCCCAGGGACTTTGGGAGATGTTTGTGGAGCCGCTGGAGAAGCCCAAGGTTTCCAAGCCCGAAGATGACCCCAACTACAAGCCGCCGTTGCCCGAAGAGATCTTGCGCAGCGACCCCGGCGCCAACACTCTACCTGACATTGATCCCGAGACCATGGAAGGAGAGAAGTACAACATGTGTCACTTCTGGTCGAATTTCGAAATTGCGAAACTCAGTTGGTTCCGCAGCAAGGAATACGAGGACTTCTTCCAGATGATGGATCGAAGTGGCGGTTTCTGGATGGAGCGAGTAAGTTAACCATTATTCATCTCGTCACTCGTAACAGTATACTAATTCCTTCACTAGTGGGGTGATGCTCCAATTCACTCTCTGGCTGCTGGTGCTCTGCTCGGAGTCAAGGATATTCACTACTTCCGAGACTTTGGTTACCGGCACACCACCATCCAGCACTGCCCTGCCAATGCCCCATCCCGCCAGCTTCCCCGCGAGCCTTTCCTCGAAAAGACCACGCTTGATCCCAAGAAGCGCCAAGAGGAGGACGAATACTTTGAGCAGTGGGATCCCGAGAAGGAGAACGGTGTTGGCTGCCGCTGCCGCTGTGACACCGACATTGTTGATGTTGAGGGCAAGGAGGGATCCTGCTTGGCCGAGTGGGTCGATGTTGCTGGCGGATGGGCGAGCCCATAAGCATACCAACAACCTACTTTGCAAAGTTTGAAATTCACGAGGAACGACTAGCACTCATCATGATATGTTTTCAGCCTCTCCAAATGTAGGGCTAGGTCACCGGGTTAGGACAAAGATCCGATACAAGCCCATGATTGGATCTTTGACATTCGGGGATGTTTGTCGTTCCCCATTGGCGTCGTGTGTTGATATTTCCTGGTTCGGGGTTCGGGGTCATTATAGAAAATCCTCTTGATTTGTCAAACCTCTGATCTAATGTCCAATAGATGGGCTCATCACATAGGGGTACGATGTATTGTAAAGCATTGGGTAGTGACAATCAGTCGGGGGTGACAGGATTGCCAGAGGCTTACTGAGTATTGACGAGTTTAGGACATACATACAGCTGTGTTACAACAGTATATAATTCCATCACTGCCCATGTCGTTTGATGTTTCATATTGTTCAAGTCCTCTAGCCATGTTGGCAGCCGAGTGCGCTTTGTGAAAGATGCATTGCAGGGTTGAGATATTGCTTAGAGGTACCGATTGGCAAGGCATACATCCTCATTAGAGCAAATCATGTAGGTACGCAACGAATCTTGAGCTAGACACACAGAAGCACTTGATATAGTACCCCAGCTTGCCATCATATATCTGCCCCAGTACTTATTTACACTCTTGATTTGTTTCAAGCTTTTGGAACCATCACTTCGGCACAGCGACGTCATCCTCCCATTGATCGGTAACGGCGCCGTGGCTCGCATCACCTACAAGACGAGCATACTTGGCCAGCACACCTCTTCTCACGCGGGGCACGGGCGGCTTCCAGGCCCGTCTCCGCTCGGCCAGCTCATCATCCGTGACGTTGGTAATATCGATGCGGTTCTTGACCGCATCAATGGTGATGGTGTCGCCGTCCCGGACGAGCGCAATGGGGCCGCCGCGCGCCGCTTCGGGCGTGACGTGTCCGACGATGAAGCCGTGGCTGGCGCCGCTGTACCGGCCGTCGGTGACGAGGGCGATATTGTTGAGGCCGGCACCCATGATGGCCGCCGAGGCCTTGAGCTGCTCGGGCATGCCGGGGCCGCCCCGGGGTCCCTCGTAGCGCACAATGAGGACGAGGTTCTCGCCTCGGGGGATCTCGCCGCGCGTCAGGGCATTGTTCAGCTCGCTCTCGGCGTCAAAGACGCGGGCCGTGCCGGTGAAGCTGAGGCCCTCCTTGCCCGTGATCTTGGCCACGGCGCCCTCGGGGGCAAAGTTGCCGCGCAGGATGCGGATATGGCCCGATTCCTTGATCGGGTCGGATAGGGGCCGGATCAGCTTCTGGTCGGGCGGCAGGCTGGGCCAGTCGGCCACGTTCTCGGCAAGGGTGCGACCCGTGACGGTGGGAATGTCACCGTTGATCAAGCCGGCATGGATAAGCATCTTGAGGACCGACGGCGTGCCGCCAATCTTGTACAGGTCCTCCATGTAGTACTTGCCGCTCGGGGCCAGGTCGGCCAGGAAAGGCGTCTTGTCGCTGACGCGCTGCACATCGTCGAGCGTAAGCGGCACCTCGGCCGTGTTGGCAATGGCGAGAAAGTGCAGCACGCCATTGGTCGAGCCGCCCAGGATCATGGTCACCACGAGGGCGTTTTCAAACGACGCCTTGGTGATGAGGTCGCGTGGTCGGATATCCTTGGCCATGGTCGTCTTGATGACCTCGGCGGCGCGCTCGCACTCGCGCGCCTTTTCGGGCGAGAGGGCCGGGTACGACGACGAGCCCGGCAGCGTCAGGCCCATGGCCTCAATGGCTGTCGCCATGGTGTTGGCCGTGTACATGCCACCGCAGGCACCAGCTCCCGGACAGGCGTGGTGTTCAATATCCGACATGACATCGCTCGGCGTGCGGCCCTCACTGCCCGGGTTTGTCTTTGCGTTGAGCCGGTTATAGGCATACGCACCCGACGCCTCGTAGCAAGTGCTGATGTTGATTTCCTTCTCGAGCAGATTCGAGTGGCCCTTGCGAATAGTTCCACCGTCTAACCAATCGCAGTTTGTTAGTTTCTCCATCTTGCTCTGAGCATTAAAAAAGTTTTTACCATGGCGCTCGAGCTACAGATAAGAGGTAGAAATTTTATTTCCCGAGACAACAATATGGGACTGGGAAATAAACTCTTGAAGGGAGACTCTTCTAGAAAGCCATGCAAAACCAGAAGCACCACAGAATCTTAGCACTTACAGATCATGATAAAGGGGCGGTTGTGCCGGGCAGCAGCCATGACGACGCCCGGCATGTTCTTGTCACAACCAGGGATGGAGATATTGGCGTCATGGTGTTGTGCACAAGTGACCGTCTCAATGCTGTCGGCAATGAGGTCGCGAGATTGAAGCGAATACCGCATTCCTGAAAGGAGGTAGTAAAGTTAGCAAGCATCTGTAAACGAGATCCCGCGCCTTTCTTTTCGTAAATGAGAAGCTTTTCCACCGTGCCAAGACATGAGTATAATTGGGTATTATACATGCTTACCTTCACCACCCATGGTGATGGCATCTGAAACTCCAACAGCATTGTATTGCCACGCGAGCATATTCTGCTTTTCAAGGGACTTTTTTACAATCTTGCCAAAGTCGAGCACTTGTAAACAAGTAATTAGCCTTGTAACGGAAGCGGCTGTCTATACAGAAACAGGACTCACAGTGGGTATTGCACGGGTTGCCTTCCCACCAGATTGTCGCTACGCCGACCTGAGGCGCATTCTTCATCATTTGCTCGTTTGGCACCCCTGCACCGTAGAGCATGGCCTACATAACCGAGTCACATTAGCAAGCCTATAATTTGGCACAATCTTTTTCCAACTCTTGTGAAGAGATGGGAAAGATTAACATGGATATTGATCATTAGGAGGAAGAAAGAATCCTACCTGAGCTCCCGGAAAGTCATGTTCTCGGGTAATGGTATGAGACCATCTGTTGAGTGCACCACCCGGCGGAAGACATTTGAATTGAATGTACTGAGGATCTGCCTTGGGATCAATCGACCCAGATCCAACGTCTTTGCTGGCGTCGCTCATGATTGTATCGACTATACACAAGAGGATGAATGATATGATTGGTATGATTGGTGTATATATGGCCGCAATAATAAATTGTTGTAACTCCTCCCTACTCTCCGCAAAAATGTGAAGTATGGGGAGAATGCGGGGGAATTGATGGTGTATCCGGCGGGGGTGAGCTTAAAGGTACGTAGTAGCTGCCAATTGGCATGAATAGTTGAATCGTCTGTTTGATTGTTCTCTGTTTTGGGGGGGCTTTTTTGAGAAAAAGAGGAGAAAATTCAAATGTATTGGAAACTATGATATTTGGTCGAATAGACGGAGAAGAAGAAAAAAGGAAGAAAAACAATCCCTTTTTGTGTCCTTGAGGATATCTCCAGAATAATCGGCAACGTTTTCCTTGTGGTCCAATCCGCCCAAACCTAATTGTGCTGACCCGCGTTCCTCTTTTCTTTTTTTTTTCCTTCCCCAGCTGGTGCATTAGAGGAGAAAAATCGTGGGGTAAAGAAGGGGGAACAAACTTAACCTCATTGTTGCTGGCTTGTGGATCCAAGTGTGGTGATTCCCCGTCTTGCATCAATCAAATCAATCAGTTGGTGTGGGCATTTCACGGCGAGCATCACCCGCTTCCTGTGAGGCGCGCAGGTGGAAGAGTGGAGTCCTTTTCGTGAGACGTCATGCAACCAGCTCGGAAATCTTTAACTGTTGAGTGGTTAGCTGGTGCGTACCACTGAGGTGCAGCTGAGAATTGGGTCCTTTCCCGGCCTTTGTCCGGAGATGATGACATATATTCATGTGTGATGCCCGTAGTACGACGTTTTGCATATGATAAGTCTTTATCGCTCGGCATTCCACGATACTATCATTTATTAAGAAGAGTAGACTACCTAGGCTATTCCACCGTATTAGCAAAACAGACATGACAATGGTACCAGATCTTATCAGCAGCCACTCGAGATGTATTCATATTTGCCAACGTGGTTTCTACTTTTCAATGTGAATATTTTGTTCTGCTCTACCATTTCGAGCTAATCCACTATACAGCACACTCCGCAGACCCTCAAAGTATAGACTCAAGCTCTCGTCATCAATCGTGATGATGGGCGATAGAACCGTCTCGTCTCGTCTTGCCACGTGTGGTTCCATTGCACTATCCAATTCCTGCGGACCAAGTCCTTCAAGAGAGCTCACTCACTACTCCATGCATCATGGGCGCCGTTAACACTCATGATGGATAAGCACCCTGCCATGGTTCCTCATGTGCTGATATATCCTTTCCCGCGCCTCCCTTCCAACCCAACTCCGAGCATGAACAAAATGGCTGGTGCTTAGAAACAACAACGCAAAGAAAGACACAACTGGGAAACAATCCAAAATCCCAAAAACCAAGAAGAATGAGAAGCGAAGCCAAAACCTTTTATTTCATGCAGCATCAAGCAAGATGTTGATCTACATGAACGTCACCCTGCAAAGAATATCCTCTATGCAATGGCCATTACACCACTATTCCTGCCCTCCTCGAGTAATCTGACCATCTCGCGCTCCTTTGGACTGCGTGGGTTGGCATCAATGCCGAGGATGGCGCTGATGCGAGTCTTGTCCTGCTTTTCATAGATCAGATCGCGGTCGTTGGGGCTGGCCATGGGCGTGATAGGGGTCTGGCTACCAGCGGTGAGGATGTTCGCCTTCCAAGCCTGTTCCAAGACAATAGGGCTCGCCCCAGTGCCATAGTCGTTGGCAATGGTGTGCCAAAACGACGACCGGTGGGCCGAGTAGATCGACTGCAAGCGCGGCAGGTCGACATGGGCCGTGGGCGGCGGGAGGGTGCAGTCAAGACGCAACGGTGCGGTTCCCTGGGTGATTGGAGACGGCTGCGGGAATGCAGAAGGTCCGAGGCACCGGGCTGCATCAGCAATGGTAGGCGTGGGGTAACCAAGACTTGGTGACATAGCCGTGGTTGTAAAGTTCATTGCTGCCGGCTTAGGCAGAATCGCAGGCAACCGAGGTGAGGTGTTTGTGTTGGCCATGATGCTCGGGAGGTGGACGGGTCCCGGGGAACCAGGGCCATAGCCGCCCGCACTCTGGGGAGGAGTACTGTCTCGAGAAGAGCACTCATTGATTGGAGACGGTACAATGGCTGGCAGGATAGGAGAGTGGCCCGACGAAGAGGCAGAGGACACTGAAGTGGTCCGCTTACGACGGTTGCTTCCATGACTCAATTGATGGTAGTGCAAGCGACAAGCGAGCTCAGTCTTCTTCAAGTGAGCTGCAATGTGCTTGTAAGGCATTTTCTGAAGACGAGTCTGGAGAAGATATACTTCCTATTCCTAGTTAGTCATGGTCCTCGTCATGATAGGCGGCGTAGTATAGGGCTCACCTCATCCTCGCTCCAGGCTCTGCCGCCACCAGTGGAGACTAGCTTTCGATTCTTTGAGATGCCATAGTCATGGCGATCAAGAGCATCACTGGTGGGTGTGTATGGGGTGTTGAGATGAGACGTCAACTGCATTGGAGGAGACATATTGCTTGGCAGGATCTCAAGTCGGTATATGAACTGAGGTGTTCTTTCTTTTTTTTTTGTGGGGGTGGACGGTGCGGCCGAAGAATCGAAGTTTGAAAAAGGTTTGTTGGAAAAATGAAGCAGGACTCGCCGCTGAAGAATTGAATGTGAATCGAAGTGAATAAAATCGTGTAGTTGCTGTGTAAAAGGCACCAAATAATATTGTAATTCCTTATAGTCCACGACGGGTATCTTTCCTATAGGCCCTAGGCAAGAATATGCTTTGATTTGTCGTCGTACAACAGAAGATACGAGAATACAAGAAGATATGGAAACCGAATCGAATGTATCGTCGTTCTTTGCGAGACCAGATAGCACCGAGGATGAATGTAACTGTTACTTGTTGTTGTTGTCGTTGTCTCGTTGTAAAAAGAGTGTAAGCAGCCAAGCCAGTTGGGCAATGAAAAGAGCGTGGTCGCTAGCTGCGAAAGAAGAAAAGAAGAAAATAGGAGGCGCGCAACAACGTCGTGATTGATACAAAGGTATAACCTGTGGTGCAGAAGAAGGAGCAGGATAAAAGAGAATCACGAGGGGGATGCGGCGGGTAATAATGCACCTTCGTGCTTCATCATGTTCGGACAGAAGCAGCATAAGATAGCAGCCAGGTACGAGACGTACCAGGCCGGGGCCCGGGGTCCAGGGTGGGCTGGGTGGGTGTGAGAGGGCAAGGCCATGCACACACCGCAAGATGGATGTGGCCTCTTGTTACAAGCCATACTCGCAACCCTTGGAGGGGAGAAAGATGAGGTGACTGTGACAAGATGAGAACAGTTGGGGCTTGGCATGATCCGCTTGGCAGCCACCCACAGTGGAACTCAAAACAGTATACCTAGCCAGATCGAGTGTCTTGGGAGAACGTGCGCTCGCCAGGAATTCGGCTATACCGTACCTTGCCCAATCCGGGGCCCTTGTCCCCTCCAGTTTGCTGAGGCTCTTTCGAATGCGGCCAGGGCCGAGGACGGCATCCAGATCGATCCGAAATGAGCAAGAGCAGTCGCTTCGATTGTATAATGCTTCGGCGCCTGTGTGTACTCACTTTGCATGCAGGCGAGCCTAGTCACACCACCATCATCATCATTGGGGACTGAGAAAGTGTACGTATGGAGAAGCTATACAGCGGGAAGAGAGAAAAGCACTATAGGTGCAACCTATGACGCGCTACCTTGACATCAGAGTCAGTTTCGTCGACCCTTCGCAAACGCGGCGAAGCGCTTCATGAGCGTAAGCTTGATCACGGGTCTATACGTGGCATCAGAAACGCCTAGCCCCTCCCATGTTTGTTATTCTTGTCCTCGACGTCGTCGTCGTCTGTTCTTTTTGCACACAGGCCAAAACAAGGTTCCACGGGTAACATTTGGTTTCGTTCGGCGACCTGGCTCAAGGAGCGGTCACTGTACATTCCATTGGTTATTCCGGAGACTTGATAACCCAGGCAAAGCATTTGCATCCACTGCGGATACTCGTATCGACTGCAGGTGGATTTTCGCGACAACAGGGTGCAGGGTCAGGATGTCGGCTCACTTGTTGTCTCCGACTGACAGGCGCTGAATCGAACAGACAAGCCGACGAGGAGCTTATTGACGACAGTCGAATCGGGCAAACAGAAGGTGACCGTCGGAACACATGCCAATGGACATAGGTAGGCAGAAAGAAAGTCCGCAGCAGTAACATGGGTCACTGCAGTCGGTCTCGCATCATAAGGCAGGTAGTGAGTGTACAGTGAAGTCGCTGGAAAGAGGGTCCGTGTTCGACGTTTTACAATGGGGGATTCTTGTTAGGACGTTGCTTCCAACGTGTTACAGAGCCGCGCTTAAACGATTGGCAGGGTTCATTATTGGTACATCAAACAAGGTTGACCCCACTGACCCCAGTTGTCCGGCTCAGCGGTACAGCGGCTCTGCGAAGAAGGTTGGAAGGCCCTGAAGCAGTCCATACCGAGACCCTTGTTCCCTGTATTTTGCTGCCGTAGTGGACTTTTAGTTACAATTATACCTGTAGCTTAATCGCATTCGTCCACCAATTCCCAGCTCAAGTTGGATGCTGTAGTTTGTCATCAGCATTTAATTATCGGCCTTTTTGGAAGCCTAATATCAGTGATATAGTTGGCGAAACTATACCTTGACATTATTTTGCAAAAGCAGCCCTTTTTTATCTGTTTGCAGAATCATCGAGACATCATATCCCGCCTCCGCGAAATCCCACGTCGTTATCGCCCGTGGGCTTCTTAGTAGGCCCAGTTTGCCAAGCTGATTATAGAGGGGAAGATGTTCACCCTGGCAGTTTGATGTGTCTACGGTCGAAACAAGCTCAACATGCTTGTTTCAACGTTTGAGCCTCATAGCCCGCAGCAATGGCCTCTCAACGGCCCCCTCAACTCTGGATCTCGTTTACATTTTCATGTTCTTGGATAGACAGATGATCTCTGCTGGTTTCGCTCATGTACCCCAGTTTCCAAGACCGCCAAATGAACCCGCTCTAAAACACCGAGGATGGTCGCCACTTGTAAACCATGCAAGGTGGTCTCTGGAAGTTGCCATGCTCATTTTCCCTTCAATCAGTGTCACTACAACCTGGGCCGGCGCGAGCTCATACATTCTTGAGTGTGGAGGTAGAACTAATCAACAGCGATAACCAAGATAGGTTATCGCAACAGTTTTCTGTATTCATGCAGCGATGCCAATCACAAACTCCATTGAATAGTGGCCCCCTGTCGCGCCTGACAAGCACGAAACTCGCTTGTGCCGGGGTTCGACTTCAGCTCGGTATCACGCCTTACCCTAATTGAGACTGCGTATACACACGAGCCGATGTCTTTTTGGTGGCTTTGATGACTAAATACAGGGTTCAACGCTGAATAAAATTGTGAAGATCTTTTTGCGCGGCGCATGCCATGGCTAGTATGGAAATGATAGCTCGGACGCCAGCATCGTTGGGTTTTCCTTGTCTCTGTGACATAAGAATAGCCTCACCTTATCGGCCACGCCGTAGTTCATATGAAGAGCACGTTTTCGTTTTTGTTTACTAAAAGCCTTGTAAGCAACTGACGGCGAAGAACATTCGACATCATGAAACCACAAACTACACCAGCGGTGGTCTCTAACAGCTTACGACACTATATTTACAATCAAGTGAGCAAAAACAGGTGACGCGGCGACCACGTTGACCAATGTTCGTAAAGTTATGGGTATGGCAAATTCTAATCATAGATATTGCTCAGAATGCCCGAGTCCGTTCGTTTTGCTAGTTGCCATATCAATATAGTGCTAGTCCTTGTGTTTATGCCTCAAGTGTTATCTGATAATCTCAACCTACACCGTTACCAAGTGCTTGCGTGGCACTGCCTAGGCGCGTTTGAATGACCGACATGTTCACTCATTGCATTGATTGTTTCTCCCCACAAGATCCATTTGGATGAATCGACTGTGGTTATGCATTGTGAGAACATCGGCTCCAGATCCCCTTTGGCCGTTCCGTCGCTCCTGTAAACTGGGGCATGGCCTGACTCTTGCAGCCCATCTAGTGTATAACCAGGTTGACCTGCGGGTGACAGCAGATCATTGCTATTGATCACCGGATATTCCATGGGCCGGGACATCCTGACAACGAACCTCTGGGCATTCGATGCAATTCTGGCCGCTGAAAGCTGGATGACACCCATTTCTCCAAATGAAGTTGGAGCAGCATGAATCCTATTAGATCTAAAAGTCAAGAGAAAAAACTGGCCAGTTATATGTGCCAATTGCTAGAATGACTTGGAATCGATTTGCACCCAGCATATACCGTTCATCCTATCTTCAGGGCACAATTTTTGAAGATCCTTTGGTCCTTTAATCAATAAAAACAGTAATGGATCGACCACTCGATACCTCGACAATAATGACATATTCGGATAGTAAATGCTCTGGTGCCAACATGCCTCTATGCAGCATGTCAAAGTTTGTCACCAGCTAGAGAAAGTAACAATTTGCTTGAGATTAGCCTTGCTTCCATCATATACACGGCTAGTTTCGAGTCCCTTGGTGATTACCTAATTCTTCCAATATCTTCTGCCATATTTGAATATGTCATATATAACATTGATGCACTGATGTCGATAACTATATATCTTGGGCTTGCACAAAGGCCTCCTTGCGTGTGAAGATTTTGTTCCTTCATCTCGTTCTCACTCTCACGTGTATTTGCTTATTAACACAGTTTACCCAAAAATGTTTCGGTAGAGCATCAGCTGATCAGTTGGTCTCGGGACATTGGCGAAAAGGACCTTGAAAAGATGTTGTGCAGTATCAACATACGGCGGCTCGGTAACTACAGGAAACACGGGGTCAAGGATTGTGGTGGACGGGGGGGAAAAAACCACCCCGCCATACAAAACAGAATATATTCCCATAGTGGTGACCCCACACAACCCTCCTCCTAGATAATCCCTGTCCAGCCGCAGAGCCGCCATTCTCAAACCCCCTTCCGACAGTCTCAGACTTGCAGGGTTTCACTGGCAATGCAAAAAACATTGGCTTTATCCCCTACAGGGTCCTTCTAGGCCTGCCGAGCTGGCTTGGGCATAAACCAAGTTTACTCCGATTCGAGACGATGAGATTCGTTGATGCTGGGCATGCAGAATTTCGACCAATGTGTACCTTGTAAGAAACGCCTTATATTGTCTTTAGAGTGGTGGGCTCTTCCAAGCCGGGCGCTAGCACTCCCCAAAGCGGGCAGTCATCAGACGACAGCAACTCCACCTCTCCTCGTCTTTTTGGAGTTGAAGGTGCTTGCTCATCGCATTGCTGTCGGCTCTGAAAACCAATAATACTATATATCCATGCATATCCTTTTCCTGCCGGTACGTATTCGTATCTTTGCTGGGAAGAATCGCATGCTAAACATCAATCTAAGGTTGACCAAGTTTCGATGGTGCAGAATGAACCCAATGGTTCAAGTGCATAAAAAGAAGACCGGCCGGCTAT